AAAATCCAAAATTTATTGTTGGCAAAATCTACTGATGCTAAAAATAGAGGACAAAAATTTGACAAGAAACAGGATGTTTGTATCATTTAAAAGTACTTCCCCCAAGATATTCATTCTCTGTGAAAAAGAATAGTAACTTTAGCAATGGAGAAAGCCAGTAATTATCACCTGTAGCCCATGTTTTCAAGGTTAACATCCCCAGTAATCAATCAGCATTAAATAACAGAAGCATGACTGACTAAGAAGAATATGCAATGTCTGGGGTGGCTTGCCAAAAAGAAATGCATATCCTCAATTTAACCAAGAGAAAAACATGAGACAAACTGAAATTGAAGACTATTTTATAAGAAAACAAACCAAACACGTTATGAGCATGACAAAAAAGGCTGAGGAACTATCAAAGATTGGAAGACACGAAGGAGACATTCAGCTGAAAGCAACATGAGATTCTCAACCAGATATTATACAATAAAAAGGGACATTGGTGGCATGGAAACTGGTGAAATGTTAATGAGCATGGATTATTTAGTAATGGTGTATAAATGTGAATTTCTCAGTTTTGATCATTGTAGTGTGGTTATTCAAGAGGCTAACTAACCACAGGAAACCAGGGAAATCTATAAGCCTAAAATAACTACAAAATTAAAGTTAAAAAAAACAGTGGCAGTTAAACAATATCTATTTGAGTATGCTCTTGCTTCTGAGGGCCAGTAATTTGTGTGACGGGCAGGAACAATTTGTTTCAGTATCAGCATGCACAGTGACTCAGCTGTGGTGGCTGTTTGGCTGAAAATGTCTGGAACAGCTCCACTGGGGCCAGCTGTCCAGTATTGGCTCTTCTCTTTATGATCTTTGCAAGGGAAAAAACCTCCAAGGAGGGTCCTTCATCTCTGAAGCCTACCCTGAGAACGCTGGAACAGTTGGTATATTCATTTCCTAAGGCTGCTGCAACTGCATAGAGCTCGGTGGCTGAAAACAGCAGAAATTCACTTTCCGTTCTGGAAGCAAGTAATCAACACCATGCCTTCCCTGGAGCCTCAAGGGAAGAGTCCTTCCTTGCCTCTTCTTTATTGGGAGCTGCAGAGAAGGGGGCCGTTGTCCCAACAATCCCAGGGTGGTCCTTAGTGCAGGCACATCATTCCGCTCTCGGCCTCGACGTTCTCCCTCATGTGATCTTCTTCCCTGTGTTACTGTGTCCCCTATGCCTCCTTTCCTCACCACACTTTTTTATTAACTGATTGAGGTGCTTGGATCTACAATACTGTAGTGATGATCTCTCATGTACATAATTCCAACACCACCCCCATCACCATTGTACCCACCTCACTCCCCCAAGGATCCCAACACCCCTAACAGTCACTCCCCTCTGCCCAATTCAATTGTGTGAATTAGTTCTCTTGCTGTGTTTCCTTTGGCCTTTATTGCTACCTCACTGTATGTCTTTAAGTCCCACATATGAGATGAGAGTGATCATTCTGTATCTATGCCTTTCCTTCAACCGACTTTTCAATCCATGCTGCTCTCCCCTTATGTTAAGGACACTAGTCACTCAATTTAGAGCCCATCCTAATCTACTAGGGGTTCTCTTTTAAAAATTACATCAGCAAAAAGGAAAAAAAAGTTTCCAGATAAGGTCTAAGATTCTGGGGAGATGTGAATTGAGATAGAGACTACTGAACTCACTATTGGTGGGAACTGCATGCAAGAGAGAAAGACGGCATCTGAGCTCTCAGTGACTTGATCAGAAAATGACACAGAAGAAATTTCATCCACATCAAATCTCAGGCTAAAGAGGGGCTGGAAAAATAGCACAGTGGGTAGGGCATTTGCCTTGCACACAGCCGACCTGGGTTTGATCCCTGGCATCCCATATGTTCCCCCGAGCACCACCAGGAGTAATTCCTGAGTGCTGAGCCAGGAGTAATTCCTGAGCATCACCAGGTATGACCCAAAAAGCAAAAAAAAAAAAAAAACACCTCAGGTTAAAGAGCTACAGCAGAAAATCTCAAGTATGCGGGACCCATGACTGAAATCTCCAAGCTCACTCAGCGCAGTACTGGGACTCCTTCCCCCAGCTCCCTAGTTTTCCAGTAGCTTGGCAGTCACACCCACAAACTGCCCCCGCACCACATAATCTCATCAACAGCCAAGAAGAGAAAGACATAGGCCTTACCCACGAGTGGATCTGCTCTATAATCATATTCTAAATTTCAGAATTCCTGGAGTAACCTCTTATACTCTAGCCCACTGATGTACCAAAAGTAGCACACAATTGCTTGGTTTTAACATACATGCTTGTAACCTTTTGTACAAGGGCTTAAATGGCTCCAGGATGAACTACAACAATCTTCACACACTTTCCTCTAAAGGTGATGGGATTGTTGTTTGAATATTAAATGTAATGAACTAACGTGAATAACTTTATGAAAATAAAATAAAATTTTAAAAAATAAAATAAAAATAAAGAGCTGTAGCAGTTCTAATCAAGGTGTTGTCATTGTAAAATTTAAGACATTCACTTTGTAAAAGGCAAATGGAAGACTGGAGAGAGAATATTCAGGGGTTAAGGTACTTGCCTTGAATGTGACTGGTTGACCCCAGTTCTATCCCTGGTGCTGCTGGACCTCTTAAGAACAACACTGAATGTAGCATAATTTTTAAAAAAATGGATTCCTGGGAAATTAGGGACCTCTACTTGGAGCCAGTCTGCTGTCTAGTAGTTAGTACTAGTAGTTAGAAACCTCTTAGGTCATCCAGGATAAAGGATAACAAATGAATTCTGCCCAAAAAAATACCAACAGCTTCCCACTTCCTAACATTTTTCACACAATACAAGTAAGTCAGTTTACATGATTTCATTCAGCAGAAGGAGCAGGAGAAGAAAGAGGGTTGGCTCTACTCAGAAAGCAGGACAATCCATGACGCTGGAGCTAATGGTATCTTCAAAGATGTCACACCACTGGCCGAGCAAGTGAAAACAGAGATAGATAAATGGGACTATCTTAAACTAAGAAGCTTCTGCACCTCAAAAGAAACAGTGACCAAAATACAAAGACAGTCTACAGAATGGGAAAGGATATTCGCCAAATACACATCTGACAAGGGGTTGATATCAAGGATATATAAAGTACTGGTTGAACTCCACAAAAAGAAAACATCCAACCCCATCAAAAAATGGGGCAATGAAATGAACAGAAACTTTCTCAAAGAAGAAATCCGAATGGCAAAAAAGCACGTGAGAAAATGCTCTACATCATTAATCATCAGGGAGATGCAGATCAAAACCACAATGAGATACCACCTCACACCTCAGGGACTGGCCACATCCAAAAGAACAAAAGCAACCGGTGCTGCCGCAGATGTGACGAGAAAGGGACACTCCTTCACTGTTGGTGGGAATGCCGGCTGGTTCAGCCCTTTTGGAAAACAGTATGGACCATTCTCAAGAAATTAGAAATTGAGCTCCCATTTGACCCAGCAATACCACTCCTGGCAATATATCCCAGAGAGGCAAAAAAGTATAGTCAAAGTGACATCTGCACTTGTTTGTTCATTGTAGCACTCTTTACAATAGCCAGAATCTGGAAAAAACCTGAGTGCCCAAGAACAGATGACTGGTTAAAGAAACTTTGGTACATCTACACAATGGAGTACTATGTAGCTGTTAGAAAAGATGAAGTCATGAATTTTACATACAAGTGGTACTACATGGAAAGTATCATGCTAAGCGAAATGAGTCAGAAAGAGAGGGATAGACATAAAAAGATTGCATTCATCTGGGGGACATAAACTAACAAAATAGGAGATTAATACCCAAGAATAGCCGAGATCAGTACCAGGAGGATTACTCCATGGCTTAGATGCCAGCCGGGCACTCTAGGGCAAAGGGCAGCTCAGATAGAGAAGGGAGCACCAAATAAAGAGTGTTTGGAGGATCCTCCCAGGAGGGGAGATACATGTTGAAAGTAGACTATGGACTGAACATGATTGCCACTCAATGCCTCTTTTGCAGACCGCAAAATCCAAAAGGAGAGAGAGAACAAAAGGGATGCCCTGCCACAGAGGCAGGGTAGGATGGGGGGATGGGTGTGGGAGGGATACTGGGATCCATGGTGGTGGAAAATGGGCACTGGTGGAGGGATGGGTACTTTATCATTGTATAATCGAAACCCAAGCACAAAAATTTGTAAATCTACAACTGTACCTCATGGTGTTTCACTAATAAAAATTAAAAATAAATAAAAGTAAAATAAAAAGCAGGACAAGAGAGAACAGGAAACAGAACAATTCAGCAATGCAAGTAGAAGAATCCCAAGTAGGTAGGAAACTATCTGCATAAACCTGGTGTCGAAGGCATCTAAGACACAGAAGATGAAAAGGTAAAGGTAGAGTTTGTTAATTTACTCATGTTTTACTTGTCCCTCTTATCCGCCAGGAGATAGAAAGCTTTATAGATTCTTAAACATAGTCAAGTTGAGGGTAGTTGCCTATATTCCTAATATGATCATTTTACTTATTTCTTTTTTCACTATTTGATTGAGTTGGAGCGATAGCACAATGGGTAGGGCATTTGCCTTGCACGCAGCCAACATGGCGGACCCGAGTTCGATTCCTCCGCCCCTCTTGGAGAGCCCAGCAAGCTACCGAGAGTATCTCACCCACAAGGCAAAGCCTGGCAAGCTACCCGTGACATATTCAATATGCCAAACACAGTAACAAGTCTCAAAATGTTACTGGGTCCGCTCAAGTAAATCGATGAACAATGGGAGGACAGTGACAGTTGACAGTGACTATTTGATTGAAGTTCTGCAATTTACAATACTGTTCATGATGGTTTTCCATGTACAGAATTCCAACACCACACCCATCCTAATACGATCATTTTACCTAAAGAAGGTTCAAAGTCACAAATAAAAGAACAATAATTGACTTGGAAATTTTACTTTAATTCTAATACTGATGATTCAAATAAAAAATAAAGACAAATCAGTTGTACTCACCAACATTGTCTTCTGATGCCGCAGTCAAAGCTAGGAACTTTTTTGTATTTTCTATCTCTTCGTTACTTTGTAAAGTTTCTTTATTTTTTGCAGACTAATGAAAGATAAATAAAATTTTAAACATGGGGAGTAAAAAAGCCAACTATACTCATCTATTTTCTTTTTCATTCCAACATGGTTTTTGTGCATGTGCATACAAACACATCATTGGGTCATTTTTTTCCTTCAATTAGAAATTCTGTCAATGTATCCTTTTCCTGTCAAGTTCAGTTAGTGCATTTTCCCAGTTAAAGTCTGATTATACAGCTCTCATAATATGGTTATTACCTTGCTTAAAGTTTCTGAGGTTTCTGTTTAATATCTCTATAAATGATGAGTAACCTGAAGACAAACCATGAAATTAGAATTTTAGACATTTCAAATTGATGCTGCTTTTTATTACATTTCCAAGTTATAATCCTTATTTTCTAGCACATAAAAATTAGTTTTGAAATTCAATAGAAATAAATGACAGGTTAACTTTTTCTGCAAAAATTCACAGATGATAATTCTTTAGTTAAGTTTTTTGTCTTTTTTTCCCCCTTTGTTTTAGTTTTGTTTTCTTAATTCTCTGTGGGGAGAGGGGATTGTTTTGTTTTGGTGTTGATTTTTGGGCAACACCTGGCAATGCTCAGGAATTACTCCTGACAGTACTTGAGGGACCATATGGTATGCCAGGGATCAAACCCAGGTCAGCTGTGTGCAAGGCAAACACCATACCCTCTGTACTATCTGCTGCAGCCCCTTATTTCTCTAAGTTTAAAGCATGGTATCTTACAATGTTTCTTTCTATTCCAGTGTTCTTTCTGGGATCCTTATAATTAAGTATTCTTGATTTCTTCATTATTAATTCATATTATCCTCTGTGGCATTTTCTTGGACGTCAGTTGACTCAAGAGGGCTTTATCAAAAACGAGCAATCTATCACTACAACCACACCTTCCATAAAAGGGCTCTCCTCAAGGGCTGCAGAGATGGCTCAGAAGGCAACCTTAGCAAGCTTCTGCACCTCCAAAGAAACAGTGACCAAAATACAAAGACAGTCTACAGAATGGGAAAGGATATTCACCGAATACACATCTGACAAGGGGTTGATATCCAGGATATACAAAATACTGGTTAAACTCCACAAGAAGAAAACATCCAACCCCATCCAAAAATGGGGCAATGAAATGAACAGAAACTTTCTCAAAGAAGAAATCCGAATGGCAAAAAAGCACATGAGAAAATGCTCTACATCATTAATCATCAGGGAGATGCAGATCAAAACCACAATGAGATACCATCTCACACCTCAGAGACTGGCCCAAATTCAAAAGAACAAAAGCAACCGATGCTGGCGTGGATGTGGCGAGAAAGGGACACTCCTTCACTGTTGGTGGGAATGTCCACTGGTTCAGCCCTTCTGGAAAACAGTATGGACGATTCTCAAAAAATTAGAAATTGAGCTCCCATTTGACCCAGCAATACCACTCCTGGGAATATATCCCAGAGAGGCAAAAATGTATAGTCGAAGTGACATCTGCACTTGTTTGTTCATTGCAGCCCTCTTTACAATAGCCAGAAACTGGAAGAAACCTGAATGCCCAAGAACAGATGACTGGTTAAAGAAACTTTGGTACATCTACACAATGGAGTACTATGTAGCTCTTAGAAAAGATGAAGTCATGAAATTTACATACAAGTGGTACAATATGGAAAGTATCATGCTAAGCGAAATGAGTCAGAAAGAGAGGGATAGACATAGAAAGATTGCATTCATCTGGGGGATATAAAGTAACAAAGTATGAGATTAATACCCAAGAATAGCTGAGATCAGCACCAGGAGGATTACTCCATAACTTAGAGGCCAGCCAGGTATCCTAGAGGAAAGGGCAGTTCAGATAGAGAAGGGAGCACCAAATAAAGGATGTTTGGAGGATCCTCCCAGGAGGGGAGATGCATGTCGAAAGTAGACTATGGACTGAACATGTTTGCCACTCAATGCCTCTTTTGCAGACCACAACACCCAAAAGGAGAGAGAGAACACAGGGGATTGCCCTGCCACAGAGACGGGGGGATGGGGGGATGGGGGTGGGAGGGATATTATCCATGGTGGTGGAAAATGGGCACTGGTGGAGGGATGGGTATCTGATCATTGTATAATTGAAACCAAAGCACAAAAAATTGTAAATCTACAACTTTAAAAAAAAATAAAATAAAATAAAGGGGGGAAAAAAAAAAAAGAAGGCAACCTTAGCAAGCACAGAGCTGGGGGCAGTCTCTGAGCACCATCAGGTATGGTCCCACGACAAACCCAAATCAGTGCTCTTCTTTGAGAAGCCAAGTTCAAACATGAGCCAATAATTCATGTCATCATCCATGTCAACATCTGATCACTTTTTCCCCACCTCTCCATGCTACAAAGCATAAAGATGTCCAGGAAAGTCAGGTAAAGTTAACCAAGCTTCAGAAATGTACTGAAATAAATGGGAACAGACCGTGATCCTGGAACTCAGTCATGACAATTTCCTGGTAAGAGTTGGACTAGCATATAAAAGTGAACTTTGGGGCTGGAGCAATAGATAATACAGCAGGCAGGATACTTGCTTTGCAATGACTAGCCTGGGTTTAATCCCCCAGCACCCTATGGGGGTGCCTGAGTCCTGCCAGGAGTGATCCCTGAGCATAGCCAAAAGGAAGCCCTCAGCATCAATTGGATGTATTCCACTCAAAAAAAAAAAACTTCCCACTGATATAAATAATAACATAAGAATAGTACCAGAGGGGTTCAATGTTCACTAAATAATTGTGGATTTAGCTCCAAACTATAAGCTCCTTGAAGAAAATGTAGATGTTCGGGACTGATGGATTAGACACATCTCTTTGATTCCAGAGATGGAGGAGATCCTGCCTTGCATGGGGAAGAGAGACCTGTGGGCACCCCAGTGCAGAGCCTGACCTCCGGAACAATGCGGTTACCTCTTTCATCTCCAGAAGAGTCCCCACACTCTACACACACACACACACACACACACACACACACACACACACACACCACTGCCACTCCTTCCTCAAACTACATCAATAGCACACCTCAGTGGCATGGGCACACCGCTCACTTTGCTTACTCACCTTAAAGGACACTGTTTCTTACCCGTCCTCAGACAGTGATAAAAGCTTACCTTCAGTTCTTCCCACAGCTTTATTCTCAATTCTGCACTTTGCTTCTTAATCTCTTTTTCTCTGTACTGTCTCTTCACCAGTATTTTATCTAGTCTCCTCATCTTGTGAATAGCTTCTTGAAGTTGAGGGTCTATTAATTTGGATTCATCTATATGGGTGTAATTGTATTTTGTGTTTACAATTCTTTAATTATAAATGTATATTTTGGATATAACCATTCTGCAAAACTGATGTTGTATCTGCATTTTACGGTTGCAATAAATGAGAGCTTCCAAAGCACTACAACATTGAACTCAGGCCTCCGGTGATTTTTAAGTCCCAAATTCTTTCTGCTTCATTTGTCTCTAACTTTTACGTTCGTAACTAGCAAATAACAATACAAAGACCCCCACCTGTAGGCTGTTTCAGGCTCTCTAAAAAGGAAGGCCTGTACACAAGAAACTACACCAAAATGCAACTTGTCGTTAGCAGCATGAGTGGTTCCGATACTATAGAAACAAAGTCTGAAAAACAGTACACATAACTGGGCACCTTTCTCCTATACTCCCCTCCTCTTTTTATTTTTTTAATATTTTTTAATTGAACCACCATGATATATACAGTTAAAAAGTTGTTCACGACTGGGCTTCAGTAATATAATGTTCCAACATCAATCCTTTCATCAGTGCACAATTCCACCAATGTCCTCAGTTTCCCTCCCACCACCCGCACACCCCCAGCCTGCCTCTACAGCAGACATTTTTCACCCTCCCTCCCTCTCTCTCTCCCTTTATCTCGCTCTCCCCCTTCTCTCTCTCTCCCTCCCTCCCTCCCTGCTTTGGGGCATTATTGCTTGCAATACTTTTATTGAAAGGTTATCATATTTCTTTCTTTACCACTTTTCAGTGCTCAGTTCTTGTCCAGCATGATCATTCACAACTATCATTGCGATAGTGGACCTAACTTCCCCTCCTCCACTCCAGCCACTTGCGTCAAGCTTCTAAACATGGACCAGTCCTCCTGGCCCTTATTTCTAATGTCCTTGGGCATTAGTCTCATACTATGTTTTTTTATAGTCCACAGATGAGTGCAATCGGTCTATGTCTGTCCCTCTCCTTCTGACTCATTTCACACAGCATGATACTCTCCATGTCCATCATTTGTAGGAAAATTTCATGACTTCATTTTTCCTGGTGGCTATGTAGTATTTCCTTGTGTAGGTGTACCAGAGTTTCTTTATCCATTCATCTGTCCTCAGGGTACTCAGGTTGTTTTCAGATTCTGGCTATTGTGAATAGTGCTACAGTGAATACAGAAGTGCAGATGGCTTTTCTGCATTATATTTTGGGTCCTTAGGGTATATTCCCAGGAGTGGTATTGCTGGGTCTTATGTAAGCTAAGTGTCTAGGTTTTTTTGAGGAATGCCCATTATGTTTTCCAAAAATCCTGGACCAGTTGGCATTCCTACCAACAATGAATGAGTCCCTTTCTCCCCATATCTGCGCCAGCACTGGCTCTTCTTGTTCCTTTGGATGTGTGCCGGTCTCTGTGGTGTGAGATGATATCTCATTGTTGTTTTGATTTGCATCTCCCTGATGATTAGTGATGTAAAGCATTTTGACCATTTATATTTCTTCTCTGAGGAAGTTTCTGTTCATTTCTTCTCCCCATTTTTTGATGGTGTAGGATGCTTTTTTCTTGTCAAGTTCTATCAGTGCCTTACGTATTTTTGATATTAACCCCTTATCTAATGGGTACCAGGTAAATAATTTTTCCCATTTTGAGAGCTGTCTCTGCATCCTGGTCACCATTTTCTTCAAGGTGCAGAAGCTTCTTGGCCTAATGTAGTCCCATTTGTTTGTCTTTGCTTCCACTTGCTTGGTTAGTAGTGTTTCATCTTTGAAGGCGACTTTAGCTTCAATATCATGATTCCCTCCCTTTTTCCTACCTTCTTTGAGGCTCCAAAAGATGGTTTTGAACTGCAGACCATGGGAAGTCATTTATTTTCAATTGGGGACTCTTTGGAACTTTCCTCACTCTTGGTTTAACTTAAGTCCAATGAAAACAATAGCAGCAACCATCCAGTTGGGGTGGGAGGCAGAGGGGGACACATAGTAAGAGTATTTTCATGCATTATCTTGCTCCTCCTCATAATCCAGAGAAATGTTAGAAGTACTGTCCTCATTTTAGAAATCTGTAAATTGAGGCTAAATTAGAACATGTCCAAGATAATATAAATCACAACTGGTAGAATCAATTTCATCCAGATCTGTCTAACTCCAGTGACAAAGTCCTTGAGGGCTGAAAAGATAGTACAACAGGTAGTGCATTTGCCTTGCACGTAGCTAATAAGGGTTCAATTCCTGGCATTCCATATGGTCCCCCAAGTACCATCAGGAGTATTTCCTGAGTGCAAAGCCAGAAATAAACCCTGAGCACCAATGGGTGTAGTGCCACCAAAAAAAAAAAAAGACAGAATTGAAGTTCTTAACCTCCTCTATAAAGTCTAATGATACTTACTCTATGAAGTTTGATGAAAGATAATAGACTAGCAATAAGTATGATAAATTCTCAAATACCAAAGTATTGGCCACTCCAGATTAGATTATTATAAATGGTATATTTGGTTAAGAAAAGCCCAAATCCAAATGCAGAAAGAGAGAGAGAGAGAGAGAGAGAGAGAGAGAGAGAGAGAGAGAAGTGCTTGCCAAAGAGGAAGGCAAGGGGTGGGGGATGGGGTGGGTGGTGATGGGAGGGAACCTGGGGATACTGGTGCTGGGATTTGTACACTGGTGGAGAGAGGGGTGTTAGAATACTGTATGACAGAAATTCAATTGTGAATGGCTTTGTAATGCTCTAAAAAAAGCCCAAATTTTGAAAATACAGAATCCAGTAATGATTCCCTATAATGGATAATCATACTTCTTCTTTAAGAAAAAATAAGGTACTTTTATAGAGAATAAGTTTATTTTAAAAATATTGAGCGTGGCTGCTCACCTACAAGATGGTCATACTTCTTCATCAAAACCCAGAATGATTTGAGGCTCTTTGTGATCCTGGAGGGAGCAGATGCAATTGGACTACACTAGCATGCGACAGGGACAAATGAAGACGTTGCTAGTGCCTGCTTGAGCAAATCGAAGATCAACCAACGGGATGACAAGTGAAAAAATATTGAACTTAACAAGAAAGTTCATCAAATCTTACTGAATGAAACAACCTCTACTTTAAAAAAAAAAGGTCTCCCTCCTCTTTTTTTTTATTGAATCACTGTGAAATAAAATTACAAAGCTTTCATGTTTGAGTTTCAGTGATACAATGATTGAACACCCATCCCTCCACCAGTGCACATTTTCCACCACCAATGTCCCTAGTATCCCCTCCCCATCCCAGCCCTCCTCCTGCCTTTATGGCAGACAATTTCTCCCTTACTCCTCTCTATTTGGGGACATTATGGCTTGCAATATAGATACTGAGAGGCATACATTTGGTCCTTTATCTACCTTCAGCACACATCTCCCCTCCCGAACAATCCCTCCAACCATCATTGACTTAGTGATTCTTTCTCTATTCTAGATACCTTTTCCCCCAGTTCATGAGGAAGGCTTCCAACTATGGAGCAATATTCCTGGCCCTTGTGTCTAATGTCCTTGGGTGTCAGTCTCATATTATGCTATTTTATGTTCCACAAATCAGTGCAGTCTTTCTATGTCTGTCCCTCTCTTTCTGACTCATTTCACTTCGCATGATACTCTCCATGACCATCCACTTATAAGCAAATTGCATGACTTCATCTTTCCTAAAAGCTCCATAGTATTCCATTGTGTAGATGTACCAAAGTTTCTTTAACCAGTCATCTGTTTTCAGGCATGTGGGTTGTTTCTGGCTATTATAAACAATGCTGTAATGAACGTACAGGTGCAGATGTCATTTCTACTGTGCTTTTTTGCACCCTCAGGATATATTCCCATAAGTGGTGTTGCAGGGTCATATGGAAGCTGAATTTCTAATTTTTGAAGGAATACCCATATCGTTTTCCAGAAAGGCTGGACCAGTCAGCATTCCCACCAACAATGAAAGAGAGTCCCTTTCTTTCTACGCCTGCCCCGGTTGCTCTTGTTCTTTTTGATATGTGCCAGTCTCTATAGTGTGAGATGATATATCATTGTTGTTTTGATTTGCGTCTCCCTGATGATTAGCGATATAGAGCATTTTTCCATGTGTCTTTTGGCCATTTGCATTTCTTTTTTGAGGAAGCTTCTGTTCATTTCGTCTCCCCATTTTTTGATGGTGTAGGAGGTTCTTTTCTTGTACAATTCTACTAGTGTCTTATATATCCTGGATATTAATCCCTTATCAGCTGGGTATTGGAAAAACCTCTACTTTCAAGTTCCACCCACCAATCCCAAATTCCCTGGCTCTAAATTCATAAGTGATCTTTCTAGAAGGCATTTATAAGTAGCTTGGGGAGTGCTAAAATAAAATAAACACACAAACAGGGCCAAAAACTGTGTCACCTCTAATAACTTATTTCCCGAAACAGGTATCCTAAGTCACTTCAGTTTTGAGATCAAATCCCATGCCATTTATATGCATAGTTTTCAAACTTTATGATCGCACCTTCCCTTTACAGTCTTAAAAATTACTGAGCCCAGGAAAGAAGAGATAATACAGATAGTACACTGTATAGGTAGTACAGTGTTTTGCTCACATAAAACAAACCTAGGTACCATACCTGCCACCCCATATGGTCCTCCAAGCCTATCAGGAGTGACCCCTGAGCACCATCCAGTGCCCCCCCCAAAAAAATATTGAGTACAAGGAGCAGAAAGATAACTCAATGGATTGGAGTGCATGCTTCCATGCAGGGGACCCAGATTCAATACAAGGTATCACATACGTTGGAAGTAGCCCCTGAGTACCACCAGGTGTGGGCCAAAAACAAAACACAAAACAGACAAAATCACTGAGTTCAAAGTAGTTTTTGTTTATGTGAATTATCTTTATTGGTAATTACCATATAGGAATAAAAACAAATTTTTGTAAATATTTATTTTTAAGAGCCTGGCAAGCTCCCCGTGACCTATTCGATATGCCAAACACAGTAACAACAAAGTCTCCAATGGAGACGTTACTGGGCCCGCTCGAGCAAATCGATGATCAACGGGAGGGCCTTAAAACATTTCACATAGCAAATATTTTATTAAAAATAATGTTTTCAAAAGTGTGACTGAAAAGAATGACATTGTTTAAAATTGTTATATGGCTTAAGATACATGGCTGCATAGTTATTATGCAGTTGTAGTCGCACATCTATTTTCATAGTCAGCTAACTAAAATCTATTGTGTATTGGTTAAAGTATGTGAAGAGAAGTTGACATACAAAGGAAATTTTGTTTCAACGGGTATGCAGTTGGGAAGGAAGAGATTGCTCAATGGGCTAAATGCCTGCTTTGCATGCAGGAAGCCCAGGCTCAATCCTAGACATCACATGTTTCCCTGAGTGCCCACTGCCTGGAGTGACCCCCAAACACTGAGCCAGGAGTAGCTCCTGATCACCACCAAATGTGGTCTAAAAAAAAATAATAAGGAAAATGGAGGAGAAAATTAATAGTCTTTTCAGGTCATCACACATGCAAGCAAGACAAGTGCTCAGCCATTGCTACTAAGCTATATTTGTGCTGAGGCTAGCTGTGAAGAGTCCAAAGAGGCCTGGTATAATTTAGTACACCACTATCTTGGTTCATGCTGAGGCACCAACAATTTCAACAGTCATTGCTTTTGTGCCGCCAGTACTAATGTCCATTCCATGGACAAAATGGCAATCAGCACCTCAGCATTACCATGGAAATCATTTTCAGTTTTCAGAGCTTATAACAGGGTCTCAAAGACACTCCACCGCCAACCCCACCCAACACACTGCAGCCCACACTTTGAGAACTACTCTTCTAATTCAATCTCACTAATGTTGATTTATTAACAATGTAAAATAGCAGTCTTTTAAAACCCAAAAGTTATTAAGAGCAAATGGGAAATCAATAAAAACACATTTACAAATTACAGGCCATATTTTATTTTATCATTGTAGTAATCAAAAAATTAATAAATCATGTCATAAAAATACAGAAATACCTCATACTTGAGTGATATAAAGTAGACACAATAATAATTTTATTAAATAACATTTAAGGGATGCCCATGAACTGCCTCTGGCACCATATAAGTTCATTAAGCAGCCATGATCCAAAGATTCATAAATAAATCTAGAAAGAGAGTAATAAGCTACAGAGATGCCTCCAGACCCTGCACCAGGCTGAGTTTCAACCAGGTAACTGCAAAGGGGGGTGGGTGAGCCCAGTACCTGCCCAAACAAAGCCCCAGCAGCCAAAAAGCTCCAGAATCCAATCGTTGCTGTTCTCATGGCCGGCCGGATTCCAAAGGCTTGGGACAAGTCTCATCAAGGAATTAACCTCCTCCAAACCCCTGTTCTTCTGGGAGCCTGACAGTCATGCTCCAATGCCTCTGGCACCACATAAACTCATTTAACCAGCCATGAATGAGAGACTCATAAATAAATCTCAAAAGAGAGCAACAAGCTTCGAGATGCTTCTGGACCCCAAAGTCACCATCTAGTTAAAAATTTAAACTCCAGCTGTATCACCCCATTCAAAATTTTAGAATTCCTAGAGCTGCACCACGACCTCTAATACTCTACACCACTGATATACCAGGAGTAGCACACCACATTGGGTAGGATGTGAAGTAGAAAGCAACCAATTTCAATCAAGAAAATATTCACACAAGGCCTAACCTGTAACAACATGTTAGTAATCTCTTACATAGGACTTGATGGCTCTAGGGTGAGATACAACAATTTCCACATACTCTCTTTTTAGGAAATCTTTTCTGATCATTTTTAGCAAATTATTCATAACAAGCAATACAAAATAAATTATTTAGGGCCTGTTATTGGGGCAGGCTTGGGTGGTTCTTGGGAAAATTGTAAATAATGGTGGTAGGGATTGGTGTTTGAATACTGAAAGTAATAAATCATGATGAACAACTTTATAAAATAAAATTTAAACACTTTAAAAAAAGAAATCCCATAACATATTGCTGTAGTATAAAATAACAGTCTGAATTGTTAAGAAATGAAAAAACTTTCTAAAAAAAATTCTGGGCATATTGATGGTGGCATATTGGTGGTGGATTGGTGCTGGAATAATGCATACCTGAAACTCTACCATGAACAACTTTGTAAATCAAAGTGCCTTAATAAAAAATAAAATTTTAAAATAAATCACAAAAACAACATTAAGGGTATTTGAGGTCCCTTAATATATTTCTAAATAAAATTTAGTCACTACAGTCTTGTTAACAAAAATATATCTCCTTTTTATTATTTGTATTTAGCTAAGGAAAATATTTATAATGGAAATAATGGTAGTGGAAAGGTGTAATGGTGGGAGGATTGGTGTTGGAATACTGAATGAACTAAATCATCATGAACAACTTTATAAAAATAAAATAAAATTTAAACACTTAAAATAGTTCCAATATTTTAGAATTCTATATTTGAATATTTAATATTTTAAAGTAATTCTAATATTTTTAAATAAAATTATCATTAACCAATCACTTACCTGAATACTCAGAGTTTTTCTGATGTTGCTTCAAGTTCAGGTCTTCATCTGATACCTCTTCAGTCAATTTTAGTTTCTCAGAATGGTTCTCATCTTTATCATCATTACTATTTCCACTTTCCTCCATACTACTGCTTTTTGAGTGGGCTTCTTTACCAGAGTTTTTATTTATTACTGTATCAACCTAAAATTATTTCCAAAACAACGGTGCTTTTTATGTATTTTGTTTTTATCAAGAACTTTCCCACTCTGAGGAAGAACAGACACAAGCAGATCCAGGAAACTTAAAAACTTCTAAAGGAAACAAACCCACACAGACAAAATAAAATAAAATAAGACACAGTAACTGGAATGGCAAAGCCAAAACTATAAATAGAATTCTAATGCCAAATAAAGAAAACCAAAGACTATCTAATAAGTGGGAGCTGGAGCGATAGCACAGCGGGTAGGGCGTTCGCCTCACAAGCGGCCAACATGGCCGACCTGAGTTCGATTCCTCCGCCCCTCTCGGAGAGCCCAGCAAGCTACCGAGAGTATTCGATATGCCAGACACAGTAACAACAAAGTCTCCAATGGAGACGTTACTGGGCCCGCTCGAGCAAATCGACGATCAACGGGAGGGCCTTTACCTTTACCTTACCTTATCTAATAAGTGAATCTTCATAAGATTACAACAGATTTATCAATGGAATCTCAACAGATCAAAAGGCAATGACATGATATATCAAAATCACTGGATAAAAATATTCTTCAACCAAAATCCTCCAACCCTTCAGTTCTATACAACTTGGTTATCATTCAGGTTCAAAGCAGTGATAAAGAAGTTTTCAAATACCGCGATTAATGGCAGAGTTTTTAAATCTTGCAAGGAATTAGAAAATGTATTTTGGGGGAGTTTCTGGGTGCTTATTGCAGTTGTTGCTTGGGGGGTCACACCAAGAGATTCTCATAACAAGGAGGCTGCTCTCAGAAATGCTGGGTGGACCATCCCATGCCAGGAAGCAAACCCAGGCTCCCCCATGCAAATCACACACTCCAGCCCATAGAAGTATCTCTCTGGGCCCAGAATATATATCTTAAACACAAGATGAAGCACATATAAATAAATGAGTAGAAAAACATATCTAAAAAGAAGATACGAGTCATGAAGGAAAGAAGGCAATGGTTTGACCAACTTTTAGGAATGTTAAAAAAAAATCTTCAGAATTTTTATCTAAGATTTTTATCTTAGAAGAGTATATGAAAGCAATATATGAAAAATATGAAAGCACGTCGCTAGGATTTTTTTCTCAGTACTAGGAATCAAATCCACAGTCTCATACATGCAAGGCATGTGTTTACTGCTAAGCCACAGCCCTGATCACTGGAGATTTGGGAACTTGAGGGGTCTCTTCGGTGGAGGGAAGTTGTTGTTGTTATTGTTTGGGGGACACATCCTGCTGTGCTCAAGGCTTACTATTGACACGGAGCTCTGAGGATCATATTGGTGCCTGGGATCAAACCCACGTAAACGGAATGCAAGGCAAGCACCTTCCCACTGTACTATTTTCCACCCCAGTCACTGAAGTTTTTAAAAATAAATAAAACACACAAATCTTACACTAAGGAAGTACCAAACTCCAAAAGCACAGTTAATAAAGCATGGCCAGGTAAGAAAAGATACCAAAGGCAGAGATGAACATTAAAGCAACTGACAAAATATCAAAACTAGACAACTATGCCCACTGGTTTACAACCATCTTCTCACTAGCAATAAAAGAGAGCACAGCACCTAGATGTAAAATTTAAAAAATCAAGAAACTTTCCAGAGAAAAATCCTTGTATTAGTTATTAGATGCAAGGAAAAGGCACAACTCTAATACGGAGAAAAGAAAAGATAAAGTATACTTTATGAAGAAAAGAAAAGATAAAGTATCTCTAACCGAGTTGAAATACTTGCAATTTAAAAGAAACAAAGAGTGAGAAGTCAAGCTGCATACTGGAAGAAGATATCATCCAGTCACCTGAAAAAACACTCTAGAACACATGAAGAATTCTCTAGTCAACCATTTAAAAAATGACAATAAATTTAATTTTTAAAGCTAGGTCAAAAAAATTGAATAGAAACTTTCTAAAACTGAAATGTGAGGGCTGAGATAGTATAGCAATTAAGGTGCATGCCTAACCTGCCCATACCTAGTCCTTCAAGCATCAGCAGCTGTGGCTAGTCTAAAGGATACTGAGCACTGCCAGGTGTGGTGCTGGAGTCTCATCCCTACCCAGGGGGTTCCTGGTAATTCCTGGCACTGCAGAGCCTGAGCAGCACTGCATCCTGGGGCCCTGGCACTGAACTGCTGGGCCAGGTGGCCAAAAATCTCTGGTGAGGACCCCAGGGCTTCCTGGGTATCATTTGGTGCCAAAGAAATTTTTTAATACAGGTTTTTTTTAATACAAGTTTTTAACGTGCATTGCAAGTGAGCACACAAAAACATATGTAATGGTAGGAAAGTGCAAGTCTAAAAGTCACGTGGGGATGAGACAGTGCCCAGAATAAGATGAGGAAACCCACTCAGGTTACCAGATTCCAAGAATTACTATAAATGTACTGTACATGGTATAGTGATGAGGCAGAATTAGAAGAAACAAAACAGCCTTAGTTTTTCTTGAAGCTAGGATTCTGCATATTAAGAATGATCTTAATTAAGAATGATTAAGCATATTAAGATTCGCATATTAAGATCATTCTACCAGATGCATATGCTCAAGCTTCAGACTGCAGAGGTGAGGTAGAAGCCACCTTCCAAAGCTTCTGATAGGAAGTTGGCAAGAAATATCACAGGGAGTCATTTCTAATCCCCAGATCTGTGGCTCTGGGGAGATTATTATCAGATACAATTTTTGGTTATCAGATACCATTTTGGTTATCAGATAACACTTTAGAATCGTCAGATACCATTTTAAATGATACCATTTTGGGATGGTAGCTCTGGTGCTTGACCTGGAAGTCAGTAAGGCTGCCTTTCCAGCAGGGCTTTCTGGCGGGTGGAGGAAGTGAATTTTTTAATTCATTCCATTTAGATTGCACTAAATCACAGCAGAAAAAAAATCTCTAAGAGTTTCTTAATGCAGCCTCAGGTCCATAAATCAAAGTAAGCATGGGTGTATAAACTTGCAAAGGTACTTTTTCACCATAAGATTCAAATTTTGTTTGTCCAAACTTTAAAATAATTTTTTATATCATGTGTTGCATGCAGCCAGCCTGGCTAAGTGGAGTTAGATTCCTCCACGCCTCTTAGAGAGCCCGGCAAGCTACCGAGAGTATCTCACTCACGTGGCAAAACCTGGCTAGCTACCCACGACATCTTCAATATGCCAAACACAGTAACAACAAGTGTCCAAAAAGAAACAGAGACATACTGGGCCCACTTGAGCAAATCGATGAACAACGGGAGGACAGTGACAGTAACAGTGATAGTGTCAGAAATTGATTATTTTAAAGATAATGCTATACTTTAGTCATAGTTTAGCAGGCAGGGCATTTGCCTTGCAGGTGACCAACCCAGGTTCGATCCCCAGCACCCGACATGGTCCTCAGAGACCAGGAGTGATCAGAAGTGATCCCTGACTACAAAGCCAAGAGTAAGCCCTGACTACCACTGATGTGGCCAAAAAACAAAAAGAAAAATCAAGATTCAATATGTTAAGAAACAAAAAGACATGGGGGTATACTGGAGTTCTGGGGGGTGGAGAATGGGCAATGGTGAAGGTACAGGTGTTTCATTGTATGACCAAGTCTTAGACCCGAAAGCTTTGTAACTGCTCTCACGGTGATTCAATAAATAAAATTATAAAAAATGAAAAAAAAGAAAGAAAGAAAAAGACAATCAACTTTAGAAAAGGAAGAGAAAGTCACAACTAGGTAATGTACCTATGTGTGTGTGTGTGCGTGCGAGTGTGTGTGTGTGTGTGTGTGAGTTGATGTGTAAAAGACAAAAAAAAAGCTGGGGGAAAGGTAAAAGAAGGAAATAGTATTTTGCTATTAAATGCTCTACAGTGAAATGCAAGAAATCTGTGTGTATTCTCAGAACACACACTCTGAAGTGACACTTGATAGACCAATTTTTAATCTATAAACCAACCAACCTCCTGAATTTATTAACTATCAAGAGGTCAGGAAGTGTTACATGATTTCTAAACAGTGAAGTACCTTGAATGGCACTGGTTCTGGGCTGAGCACCTCCAAAGAACAATTTGAAGCTCTACTCCCAAGACGAGTTCTTGAAATTGAGGCTGGTTTTGAAATTCCATCTAGGTTTCCCTTGATAATATCCATTGATATTCTGAAACCAAAAATAAATAAATAAATAAATAAATAAAGTGACTTATGACTTGCAAAGAGGCGTCGGTGGTGTCAGTATCCTTGTCAACACAAACAGCCACGAGCATAGATTCATTCGAATGCCTAACAACCCGAATCGGCAATTACACTTGAATAGATGTGGCTCACTACCGGCAGTTTCTATCTTTGTTGTCTATGCACCAACATCCAGTTATGGTGAAAGAGAAACTGAGAAGTTCTACATGGAGCTGGAGAAGTTCTATAAAGAAGATCACACCTTCTACAAGATCATTGTCGGTGATTTTAATGCCAAGATAGGACCAAGAAGATCAGTCGATGAACTCCACATCGGGACCCATGGCCTAGAATGGAACGAACAGGGTGACAGACTGTCTGAGTTCATCATGTCAACCAAAATCTTCCATGGTAACTCACAGTTCCAAAAGGCTGAATCTAAACGTTGGACATGGGAGTCTCCCGATGGACGGTTCCACAATGAAATAGACCACATCATATTCAATCGGCGGTTTTGCCTAACCGATGTTGCTGTTGTCCCAAAATTCCAAACGGGATCAGACCACCGTCTTCTTCATGCAAAATTCTACCTCACAGAACGAGGAGAAAAGAATGCAAGGTTTAAGAAGAGGACTCCCAGAACAACCACCAACTGGGAGCTCTTTGGCTCTGTTGCGGCAACATGGGAAGATGCCGTCATTGACAACATTGATGAGGAATACGATCGAATGATTCAGCACCTCCATGATTGTGCAAGGAATGCCAAGAGAGAGATAACCACAAAAAACCGCCTTTCTTCGAACACTCTTGAACTTATTCGCCAACGTGGCTTGGCACATGCCTCAGGCAACCACAAGCGAACATCCGAACTGGCAAAACAGTGCAGAGAAGCCATCAAGGATGACCTCAAAAACAGGAGAGCAGCAGTACTGGTAGATGCGGCAGAAGCTGGGAAAAGCATTCGTAATGCCCGCCTGTCCTTCACCAACTACAAAACCAAGATGACTGCCCTCTGACATCATGATGGATCTATCACATCTTCCAGAAGGACAATGGAGAAGATTATTCATGACTTCTACTCAGATCTCTTTAATAGTCACGTCCACTTGCCCACATACCACATACCACATGATGGATATGTCGTTCCCAATGTTCTCCCTTCCGAAATCCAACATGCCATCTCATCGGTAAAGAAACAAAGAGCACCTGGCCCAGACAAGATCAGACCTGAACACCTGAAGAACTTACCATCAGTACTCACCAATACATTGGCTTGGCTCTTCACACGCTACCTGTCTGAATGCAAGGTTCCATCCCAATGGAAAACCAGCAGGACTGTACTACTATACAAGAAGGGAGACATCCACAACATTGGCAACTATCGCCCAATCTGCCTATTGTCTGTCATCTACAAACTGTTCACTCGAGTCATCCTAAATCGGATTGGTAGAACACTAGATGAAGGACAACCATGTGAACAAGCCAGATTCCGAAAAGGATTCAGTACCATCGATCATATCCACACGATTACTAAGCTCACTGAGGTTTCTCGGGAGTTCAAGATGCCGCTCTGTCTAACGTTCATTGATTTAAAGAAGGCCTTTGATTCTGTTGAGACGAAAGCGGTCATGGAAGCCCTAGCCAATCAGGGCGTACAAACTCAGTACATCAGGATCCTTCATGAGCTCTACTGCGGATTCACTACCAAGATCTCACCATTCTACAAAGAAGTAATCATCCATATCAAGAGAGGGGTTCGGCAGGGTGATACCATTTCACCAAAACTCTTCAGTGCCATCCTCGAGAACATCATGCGACGACTGAAATGGGAAAGCATGGGAGTGAAGATAGATGGTCGGCAACTACACCGCCTCCGTTTTGCTGATAACATCGTTCTAATAACACCAAACATCAGCCAAGTGGCACAAATGCTGAACGACTTTGACCGTGAATGTGGAAAGGTCGGACTACAGCTGAATCTTATGAAGACAATGTTTATGAGAAACAGCCTTGTTCCTGACGCTCCATTTACTCTCAACGGAACCACCATCTCCGAATGCAACAGTTATATATACCTAGGTCGAGAAATCAACATGAAGAATGACCTGGCACCTGAGTTGCGCAGGAGGAAGAGAGCGGCTTGGAATGCCTTCAAGAACGTTGAAGAAATAACTAAAAGGACAAAGAACCTCCAGCTACGAGCACATCTCTTTGATTCCACTGTTCTTCCTGCATTAACATATGCCTCAGAGACCTGGACCCTACGAAAACAGGATGAGAACGCTATTCGGGTCTCTCAAAGAGGAATTGAAAGAGCTATGCTTGGAATATCACGATTCACTCAAATGAGAGATAGAATCCGGAGTTCTGATCTTCGTCAACACTCAAGAATCAGGGACGCTGCCTCATTTGCCAAGACATCAAAAATCAGATGGGCTGGACACGTAATGAGGCTTAGAGACAACCGCTGGACTAGAGCCATTACTGATTGGATTCCACGGGACATCAAAAGATCACGTGGACACCCACCTACAAGATGGTCAGACTTCTTTGTCAAGACCCTGAATGATCAGTTTTAGGCTCTGCATGTTCCTAGAACGAACAGATACCATTGGGCTATGCTAGCACGCAACCGGGATGAATGGAGACGTTACTGGCACCTGCTCGAGTAAATCGATGAATAACGGGGATTAAGTAATAAGTGATAAGTGATGACTTGCATATTTTACTGTTTCATTAGTCAGTGTATATGCCATTAATTCATATCTTATGCCTGTGTCATAAGAATTATGTTGCCACTGAAGTCACACATTACTAACTCTATTACAAAATTATAATGAGCATGAAATCATAAAATCAACTTAACTAAATCATTGCTTTGCAAAATGTGCTGTTTGGGATGAGGGATAGGGGAGAATACAAAAGTCAATGGTATCTCAATGGCTTCCTGAGAGAAAACATTCACTGTGTCCTTTTCTTCCCTGAGAAGAGAGGCTCAACCACAGCTTTCAATTAAGAACCACGCTCCATTGCAATAGTTTGCAACAGCTGCTGTCTTCTGGTTTTGCTTCATGAGTCCAGTCTTTCCCACTCCACCTCAGTCTTTAGTCTGCACATCTCATGCCACTCTGACTTCTCTCTTCCTCCATACAGCACTTTCACAGACTACCTAGCTCCAGGTCACTGCTCTGTTCTTGCATATCATCCATCTAGAACCCCTCATTCTAACTCCACTCTCGGGGTGGGATTAGATAAAGAACAGAAGGCAGAACAGATATCTACCACAAGGCTGACCTTCTTACCTGGCTCTCATTAATCTATCTATTTTCCCTGTGACACAACCCTCAGGACTGTGATTACTCCGGATGCTCCATCCCCAGTGCTACTTAGAGAAGCAGGAAATAGGAGGCAAGGTAGTTTAAGTCACAAGAGAATTAAGGTATTGCAGACACAGTTGATCCTTCCAAACCATGCTCTTGAGCAGAATCACTCCAAATCTGTTCTGTAATGCTGCAGTACCATGCATGCCAAGTAAAATGGAAAAAAAGAAGAAGAAGAAAAGAAAATTCCAGATTTTGCCTTTGTTTTGTTTTGTTTTGTTTTACATGTGAGTTGCTATCTTCCATCACCTCCTTTCCCAAAAGCCTGTCAAATATGAATTAAGATATTTCTTTCTTAATGGGGAGAAAGGCAACTGTCACTGAGACAATGAGTATGGCAATGTCCTTTTCTTCCTCTGCAAAATGACTCATTTCTCTTTTCTTTTTGAATAGCAGAGTCCAGGGAAGTTTTGGACACTTAAGTCCCTCTAAGGCACAGAGAGGGATCGTGCCATACATCCCCCAACCATTCAGCGTGCCAGGGCTGATGCTGAAGGGACCAGCAGGTCAATTCTTCCCATCTCTATAAATGATCAAGGCATTAGTCCCAATGTCATTCAAACTCTGCAGAGAGATTTTTGCTCCCTTGCACAGGCAGACATTGACATTATTGTGGGATGATAGATCACTCCGTTGGTCACATCAAGAATAGAAAGCAGAAGTCGTAAGAAAGAAAGGGAAAAAAGACCCAGTGCCTTTCAAAGGCCTTCAGCTGCCTGCTGGGGAGAGCTGCTGAAGCTCACATTGCAGTAGTGGGGTGAGAGCCTGTGCTGACACGCAGAATATAAGTCAGGAAGGCAGAAGCTCTGGACCAGCCTTATGCGGGCTCTGGACACCTTTCAATCTGCTTCCTAAATAGGTCTGCTCTACCATGCCCTTTCCTAAAAACAAGAGTCAGATAAAACACAGCTCCCAGGGTGGGTGGAAATATGACTAATAGTCTTAGGAATTTGCTGCACAGAAAATGTTCAGAGCAGGATAGTGAATTAGGATCTTATATGTTAGATATTAACTCTAAGTGTTTTAGGCTTCATCAGTGAATTGCCCCATTTTCTCCTCCCAGAGAAGCTTACCATGCTCTTGCTAGCATCCATAATTTAGTTAAAGTCTATCTTTAACCTTTCCTTACTCTAAGGGCTTTAGACTTCAGTGAATTACCCCTTTTCTTCCTCCCAGAGAAGCTTATCAAGCACCTATTATTTAGTTAAAGTTTATCTTTAACCTTTTCTTTGTATTTTACCTCTCATTGTCACAGTTCCCCATTGTCACAGACTGACTTGTCAAGTAATGAAGTCAATCTTGATTACTTATAAGCCAAAACTTTCTGGTAATTCTGTGCTTTGTATTTGAAGTGCTGTGTGTTGGTGTTACAGCAGAGCCTGGCAAGCTACCTGTGGCATATCCGATATGCCAAAAATAGTAACAATAACGGGTCTCATTCCCCTGACCCTGAAAGAGCCTCCAATACAGTAGTGTTGGGAAAGACAAGTAAGGAGAGGCTGCTACAATCTCAGGGCTGGGACGAATGGAGACATTACTGGCGCCCTGCTCGAGTAAACCAATGTACAACGAGATGACAGTGATACAGTGTGTTGGTAC